CCCCCCCTCCCGCCTGCCGTCTCCCTCCTAACACACGCCCGAGATCGCCCTGCCCCTCTTCCATCTGCCTGCATGCCTCGCTATGCACCCCATATACCAGGCTGTGTCGGCACTCGATCTTTGCAGCCCACTTTGACGATCCATCGCAGAACCTTTCCGGCCCAGATGCCGCATGCGATGGAGGTCGTGGGTGTGACACTTGCCAGCACCGGCTGCTCGCGATGGCCGGCGCCGATGAGGCTGTTTGCTCCACCGCGGGCAGCTTGGCGATTGGCAGTGGCCCGGCTCTGCAGCTGACCGAGCTGGACGTCACACAGTCGGTGGGCCCTCTTTTGCGCTTTGTCCATCGGTTGTCCCGGTTGGGGGAGCGCTTTACCGCCATCCAAATCGTGGATGCCTGGATGCGAGGTTCCGCAGCGGCCAAGGACCCTCCGCGGTCGTTGGCCTCACGCAAGCGCCGGCGCCGGGCTCGCGACAACCTGGCCACCGAGGAGGCGAGCAACGGCTCCGATGGGGACTTCGCCGACCAGGACGATCTCGATGCCACGGGGCCTGCTGCTCTGGCCACGGTGGACCCGTCTCCCTTCGCGCGACATGTGTCCGAGCGGATCCTCTCTCGTCTGGTGCACACGGAAAAGCTGCTCCATGAGCGTTTCTATCACACTGCTTACACAACTATCAACTACGTGGAAGTGAATTATGCTCATCGACTGTTTGGTGGCCAGGTGCCAGATCGCAAGACCTTGCACTTTCCCCTCCTGGAGACGGCAGACCACGCCTGGTGGCGGGGATTCACCCTGCGGATGGTCCTGCCGGTGAGCATGGCTTCGGCTGGTGCCTTCCGGTCGCGCTCGGCCCAGGCCGCCGCCGAAGGGGCACTCGTCGGTAGGGCGTCCGCCGACACGACCTCGCGGCCAACACGGCTGCGCTCTCGGGCCTCCGCGCGCAACCCGCCACCACCTTGTCCCGCAGCCGATGAAGTGCCTGTGGTGGACTTCGTAAAGGAAGAATAGCGGGCCCAGCGCGAATAATCCTTTCCCCTTTCCCCAGGGTGCATTGACTCCCCCCCCCCC